GTCAGATCTTCCTGCTCCTCGTGCAATAGAACCCTCAGTTTCATCCAGGAATCTCCTGCTTCCTCCTATTGCAACAGATGTATTCACATCTATCCAGAAAATGGGCAGAATTCTACCTTATCTTGTTGCCTCAGGCCCGTCACTTTCCTCCAGCCTCAGGTTTTCACCTGTAAAATAAAACAGCATTAAATACCAGGAGTGGCAATACTGGGAAGTGTTCTTCTGACAACCCGAAAGGCTGTACCTGGTCATGACCTAACCATGTGAGAGGGACCCCTACCCCTCGTCTGGCAGTTGGAAGGGTTATAGACATTTATGTTTTGAAGTGCCCAATGCTGCAGAAAAGCCTTATAGCCTACAGGGATGGAGCACTGGGTTAGACTTCATGTTGGGGTTTCTGTGGTCCTGTTCTAGCCAGGCATCTGGGATCCTACGTATTGTCCTGTGTTTCCTCACTTTAACCCTGCCTGAAGTCCCCGAGTCTTGTCCTCAGGGTCCAGAGGCCTTCAGTTTTTCGTTTATGGGGCCAATTGGTACTTACGCTGGATTCATCATCTAGTGAGCCCCCACTCTGTGTCACGCACTGCACTCAGGTGTTCATAGGAATGATTTCATTTCATCCTCACAACAATAGTAGATCGTCTATTTAGACCCATTTTACAGATGAGGAAACTGAGACACAGAGAAGGTAAGCAATTTGTTCAAAGTCTCATAGACAGAGCCAGTGCTAAAATCCTGTGTCTCTAACTCGAGATCATGCCTGTGTCACCATGAAAGTCTGCTTCCCCTTAACTCTCACCCCCGACACCTGCAAGTGCCACACTGCTGTGTCTGTCCTCCTTGCAGTCCCGGTGTGTGGTGCAGTGCCTGGCGCTAAATATTTGTTTGTTATGGTTGCATGAATCTTATTGTATATTGGTTGCTTCCGTCTCCAAGAGTGACTGCTGACATCTTGCAAAAGGCAGGTTTTTGTGAGAAAAGACGTTTCGTTTCCCAAGATCAGTCCCCTCAACATATGCTGCTGTGTAGAGTTCCCAGAAGGGCGAGGGCTTGCGGAGCTAGGCTCCTGCCCACCACCTCCTCTCATGTTTGCATTTTGAGCATAAGATTCACAAAGTACAGTCCAACTGCTTCACATTATTTTCTTCTGCTCAGAATCATAACCCTCTCGATTATGTTATTCTTTTTTATTATTTATTGTGTGCCCTGGGGAATTTTCATTTTAACCAAGACACTGGTTCAATTGCAAACTGGCAAAGAATGATTTGTAAGGAGATCAGTGTTGGGAGCTCATTAAAACATGTATTTAGGGGATGGTTTGGAAATAGGAAAAGGAAATCTCTTGGGAGAGGAGATATTTTCAGGAGTTGAGAAGAAATTATGGAATATGAGGGAGGGAAAAGAAGAGGACAGGGGAGGAATATTTAAGAAATAAAATTGATAGCAAAATAGGAGGTATATGGAGGAAATAAATACAAAGTCATGGGTAGGAAAATAAAACTCCTCAGAAATAAAATATGCTAAATATGACTTCATTTAAAAAAGAATGAAAATTGTCCCCCTCCATCTTGCAAGCCCTCAAATGAGTTTGAGCTCTCAGCTGGGTTATTCAGCTGTTTTCTCTGAGGAACTATTGAAATTCCTGGGAGGGGCCTTCATCGTTTCTCTAGAAGTGCAGGGATTAACCAAGAGCCTCCTGGACTCAGAGACGCCTGCAACGCCCCTCCCAGAGTGAGTGGTCTGGACACACAGAGCCTGGCTGGACAGCTCTAGAGGAAGAGCTGTGTTGTGTCAGCTTTGCAGAACCCATTCCCATTCCTCCTCCAGGGCCCTGTCAGTGTCAGTGGTGCCTCCTGGAGTTGTGCCACATGGTGGCCCTGTCCCCCTTACTTGGGATCCTCCTGAGCTGACAGGTCGGTTCCCTTGTCTGGGAGGCTTCCTGCTCCCCTCCTGTTTGCTGGGCATCCATTCCTGCGCCGTGGCTCCCCAGGCCTCTAATGGCCTCCATAGAGCATTTTTATTGTGCAGGTGTGATTTATGGGGGCTGGCCAGATGCAGCCAGGCCCAGGGTGCCTCTGCAGGGGCTTTCCCACCGGGTGCGCTAAAGAGGAAGAGTTAAGGAAGGATGTTTTCACAGGGAGCAGAAGAGCTTGTTACAAAAGGCTCCAAGCATTTGGATTCTCATCAGCAAATCTATATTCAGAGGCCCCGTGTCAGGCTGCTGGGGGACTGACAGCTGACCGCTGCCCAGCCTCTGAGATGCAGTTAACAGCAGTCAAGCCTGAGACAACAAACAACAATTTGTTTTCTTCAGACCTCTGTTTCTGAAATGAGAAAGGCAGAATTTCCTGAATTCTTGGGCTTCCTTGGAGAAATTAATTCAGCAAGGAAGTTTAGGAGTCTGAGATGCATGTTTTTTTACGCCGTTTTAAACAAAAAGGGTTTCGAGTGCTGTCGTCTTGTTTTCTCTTGGTGGGGGTGGGGTGATGTTTTCAGCATTGCTTTCAGAGCCTCACGTAACCACTTCCCCAACACATGTATACACATGTGCACGGTCGCACTCACCCCCAAACACGCTAGGGCCCTCTTCTATTGTCTTCTGACTCAGTCCAGGAGCAGCCTGGTCATCTTCACTATTAGAGGAAAGTGGCCTTTCCTCCACCTTCCACATGCCTGAGTTTGTGTGCCCCATCCTCACATTCCCTGCTTTTACATCCCTCACCAGCACAGGAGCAAAAGTGAGTGTGTGCATTATTAACATTGTGGTAGGCAACGTAATATTCCCCCAAAGACATCCGCATCTTAATCTCCAGAATCTGTGCATATGTTATCTTACATGGCAACAGGGACTTTGCAGCTGTGATTAAATTAAGGAGCTTGAGATGGGGAGATTATCCTGGATTATCTGGGTAGGCTGAATGTAATCTCAAAGGTCATCATAAGAGGGAGGCAGGAGGCTGCAGTGAGAGCCGGTATGACAACAGAAGTGGAGGCCAGAGCAATGCGGGGCCACAAGTCAAGGAATGCGGGTGCCTTGAGAAGCAGGAAAAGGCAGAAGGAAAATCCCTGCTGATACCACCTTTTCATCGAGTGCCACCCAGTTTACCCTTCTGACCTCCAAAGCAACAATGTTTGTGGGCATTTGTTAGAACTGCAATAAGAAATGAGTACAACTTGGGGCAGGGCCAACGTGACAGTCACAGGGAAACCTCCTTTTCTGTCTTTAGCCAGCAGGACATGGCATCTGTATCAGCTCGCAGCGTCTAGGCGGCAGGGGCAGGCGGCAGGGGCAGGCAGCAGGATGGGTGAGGCTCAGTCCTGTGTGGTGAGGCTCTAAGAGCCGGGGAGGACTGGGTGTCAGGCTGTAGAACCATGGCAGAAAGCTAGTGAAGTTTGAAATTTAAAACTTGCTGGATTCAGGGTTCAGGGCTAACCAATTACTAGCAGCCCCTAACCCAGGGAGTGAGGAGGCAGCCCATATAGGCTAATGGAGGAACCAGGACCCAGGCAGGCAAGCTGGGGACTGGCAAACGGGAAAATGCAACACTTTCAGACCTTCATTTCTCTACTGCTATATAGTTTCCATGCCTGGCTGATGACCAGAATTATTTGGGGCACCTGAAAAAGTACAGATTTGCGGTCCCGTCCTGAGGTACTTGAACTCAATCACCGGTACTGTCTTCAGTAACTTTTGTTGTACCAGGTATGGTGTCTTGTACCCTCTTAGTCCCAGCCATGTGGACGGGCTCCTATGGCTGAGTCCCTGCCTCAGATTTTCATTCTTCCTGGCCGTCATCCATTCCCACCCAGCTGGAGAACCCCATTGAGTGGCATTCTGACTTGACCATGTGCGGGTCCACAGGTTCCCAGTCTGCTCAGTTATCCTTCCCAGGCCTTCCCAACCTCAGCTTTATGCCCTTGTCAGACAGCTGACCTGCTGAGGTGACAGCACAATGTCCAGTGGAGCTCATAGGCTTTGGCAGCTCCTGCTTCTACAGATACATCACATTTCTACCCATGCTAGCTCAGAACCTTTTAATTCTTTCTGGTCCTTCCCCACCCTTTCCAACTGGGCCCCAGAACTGGGGCAGCTGAACCATTTTTCCTCCAGCAGTCAGGGATTCCTGAAATCACGCACCATTTTCAACTCTTACTGTACTGACAAAAACTCTTATATTCACTTCCATTTGAAATCAGTATCTATCATTTGTATGTCATATGCCTGTCTATTTTAGATCTTGCTCCTTTGAGTGCTGGGAAGCATGACAGAGGAGGTAAGGCTTGAAATCCCTCCTGAATAGTTCTTCACTGTTTGACTTTGAGCAAGTTTCTCAGCATCTCTTCATCTCAGTGTCCCGATCTTTGAAATGGGGATAAAAATAGTACCTCACACGTAGTGTTCTTGCCGAGATAAAAGGAGCTAATTCATTTAAAATTCCTAGAGCAGCACCTGGCAACTTGTAGGTACTCAATAAATGTTAGGTATTATTATGATTGGTGCCAGCCTTTAAGAGATATTTATTTGAGAAAACGAAATTTAAAAAATTCCCCAAGTTTGATTGACTCCATCTTCTAAAACTCTCCTCTTGCCAGCTTCAACTCTCAGCAGATCTTCAAATAAAGAGTGTAAAGAGTGATTTCAAACTCAGCCTATCTTTCTGGCCCTACATCCTTTTTTATAGTTGAGCAAACAAATAGAAATAAGCTCAAAAGGCAGAGAGCGGAGTGGGGGAGAGGCCAAGGTTGCTCAAGCTGAGACAGCTGAGAGTCAGCCGAGGCTGGTCCATGTGAATCTAATCCTCACACCATCTGTTTGCTGATTTTCCCCTTTGTCCTCCTCTTTGAGGAGCAAGACATTCAGAGCAGGCAGAGTTGGGGGCCCTGCAGATAGGTGGTCCCGGCTCTTCATGCTGGAGTTTTCAATTATGATGCCAGTCAATGGGAGAGAGCGGAGGGCGAAAATGAAAATGGAATATTTGGTTAGCGCTCTGACAAGCCATGAATCAGAAGCAAGTGAAATTGCTCTGGGGTCTCGCGGCCTGTCAGCCTCCACCATCCATTCTGCTTGCCCCTCAGCAGTGTAATTCCGCACGAAGACAGTGATGTTCAGGAGAAAGCAGACCCCACCCCCGCATGGCTGGGCCTTCCGTGGCCTGCCCTGCCAGGTACGTTCTCACGCCAGGACGGATAGTCTGCCTCCCTGGGCCGCCAGACAGAGGAGGTGAAGGGGGCGGGAGGAGGGTCTGTCAGCAGGGTGGGCAGTGACGTGTGTCTGACCCACATCACAATGCTGCTATGCCTTCACCTTTCAGGGCGCTCTGTGGGCGCTTGTCAATTCCCTGCAGCGTGGCTGTTCATTCTTACTTGAGGAGCCCTGGCAGAGGCTGGGAGCTGTGTCTGCTGGGGTCAAGGCCAAAGACTGCCTCTGATCAGTAGGAGAAAGGGGAAAGCTGCAAAGGAGAGTATCTCGCCATCCTCTTCTTCCTCCCTTCTCCCTCCAACAGCCCTGACTGATTGAATACGCACCAGGGAAGGTGCAGAATGCTGGACAGGGAGCCAGTAAATAATGAGTTTGGATGGATCATGTGAGTGAAGGAATTCTCGGGAGAGGCCAGGTTGAATTCAATAAAGCAAAGCCTCACTCATTCAAGGATCTGCCATCCAGGGTATGGAAAGCTGGCTTCTTTTGTCCTTTTTGTCACTTATGTTCATCATGTAAACATTTGTTGAGCAGAGTGAGGGTTACAACATGATTCCAGCTCTCAGGAACCCCATGGTCTGGGACAGATCAGACAGGGAATTGGACTACAGAAGGCAGTGGAGAGGTCAGCCTTGGATTCCGGGAGGTCCCATTGAGAAAGCTGGTGTCAAATAGGCCTCCAGATGATCAGGATCTATTAGGGAGATGTCAGTCAGGGATGCTGCTTACAGTTGTGCAGGTTGTTCACTGCCTAAGGAAAAGGTATGGGAGGACTAAGGTAGAGCTCACTTTCTACTCACTGAGCCATATGTCCTGGCATGGTTGTGTCTGTTCAGAAGAAGAGGAGGCTTCAGATTCACACAAGGGCATCAATGGGCCAAAGGCAGCCCTACAGTCAGGCAGGAGAGAAGTCAGATAGTCAGCGCTGGAGCTCTGTAGCAGAGGAGGATCATGAGCTGCCCAAAGCCTCTGTAGCTACAGAATAAGGCAGGATCAGGTCCAGTGATGTCAGAATGATGTCAACAGCATCTGATGTTAAGTTGGAGACTCACTGTAAAATCAGATTCCAAGGGGCCAATTAAGATTCAAACTGTGAATAGTGAATAGAAAGTGGGGAAAAGCCAAAAGTCTCTCTCAGGTCCTGGCCTATGATCAGTCATTCAGGAGGGCCCATCGCTGTTGATAAAGCCTGATGCCATTCACAAGTGTCTGTTTGGCTGTCACTATCCGTACTTGCAGCATGTGTCTCAGATCGGAATTGGGTGGGGTCCAGTAGTACAAGCCATGATCTGCTGGCTCAAATCATGCTGATGGTACCTGGAGGTAGAACGGGGATCAGTGGCTGAAAGTTTCTGGTAGGTGGATTTTAGCTCAAGATAGGCTACCTGGGTGTGAAAGAAGTCACATTGTGTGATGGTGACAGGTGTCAGTGGAGATATTCAAGTCCCCTTACTTGTGCCGAGTGGAAGGTTGGGCTGAAAGTGTCTGAGGTCCCCTTTCAGCTCTGCATCATCTGAGTCCATGAAACACGAGCAAGCTGGCTTCCCTCCTTGTCAGAGAGGATTGATTGCAGAGGAAGTTGAAATTAATGACTAGCACAGGGTTTTAGGTTTTAGTTGTATTTATTTATCTTCCTCCACCAGGCCCCCTCCCATTTCCCCAGTTCCAAATTCATTCTATGAATATTTGAGAGTAAATTGCTCATCCAGGTGCTAGAAAGGGCCATGTGGTTAACATGCAGACAGTTTCTGCTCATCTTTACCTAGGGCATTACTTCAGTGCAGTAGGACAAGTGACCATCTTGGCAGCGGGGGACCCAGGACATAGGGAGCTGGTCATGCTGGACATGTAGGCGAGAGGAAGGGTCTCATGTAGGGCCTCTGGTGCTACTTTTTCCTGGCTACAGAGTGAGGGCAAAGTCCAGCACAGACCCTACAAGCTGTATCAGCAAATGGTATCGTAGCGGGATGTTGCTGAATATACAGCATCCATTTCCCCATCCTGAAGCTGTGCCTTGGTTTTCCTTTGGGGAACCATTTTTTTTCCCCACTGTCAGGCCAGTGCTTGTCTTCTCCAGCACATGTCAAAGGCCTAGACAATTCATGTCTATGGCCACAGCTATTGGCTCAGTGTTGGGTGTGTAACACCATCCAAGCCACTGAGGTGCAATTCTAGCATTTCATAGGAAATATGAGACAGTAGAAGCTTTATATTTACTAATGGGGATTGTTAAGATGGCAGAATATAAGCTTGAAGCTTCTAAAAGCCATTGCAAAGAGAAAATGTGCATAAGAATGCAGCCAAAGCAGGGGAAAGCAAATTGAAGGGTGGAAAGAGCAAAGCCCTAGACCAACCTTCTCTGCACTTTTTAGTTACATGAGCCAATAAAAGCCTTGACTTCTTTCTTGAACCAGCTTTAGTAGAGGTTCTATCCTTTTCACCTGGAAAAATCCTTGCTAGTTCAGGAATGTTCCTGGGGAAGCCCTACCTCTGAAGCAGCAGCAGAGCAGGAGTAGGGAGTAGAGCTGGGGCACCTGGCTTCCCTGGGTGATTTGTGCCCTGGTCTGAGTGGCAGCCCCACCCAGGCAGCTGTCCTGTTTCTTGCTCATCATTCTCCATGAAATGACACAGAATGATCTCTGATGTTGAAGCATTTGACTAGAGACCTAAAATGTGTTCTGCAGAGCAGTGGCTCCAGAGATGGGCCAGAGTCAAAGAGGCTGTATACACAGAAGCATGGGTGCTGGTGTGTCTACATACCCCTCTTGGAGATTCACGCTGTGTATTGATTGGAATGTCAAAGGTTCTGAGAAGTCCGATAGGAAATGAATCTGTTTAACTTGGCATATCTTTTATTTTTCAAATATTCTACATTTCAGTTCCATTTTTCTACCATCAGCAGAACACCCTTGGGGCAATGCTGACCTGGATTTCCTCACTTGACACTTGGTAATGCTTCCCATCCTCAGATATTCGGCTGTGGGACATGATCTAGTCGCTAGAAAATGGTTTTTTTCCTTACAAAACTTGGGTCCAGTTTGATACAAGCTGTGCTCCCCCAGGGATTTGTCCTCAGATCTTTTTTCATAAGGCACCAAGCTATCTCATGGGAAAAGCAAGAGAACATGGAGGCACCCAATGTTGTTTTCAACATAAAAAGCCAGGGCTATAGGGAGAGGTGGTTTTGACTGGATCCTACAGTCTCTTAAATATGGCTGTCTCCCCACAGTGGCACAGGGCCCTGAGAGTTGAAGCTTCAGTGACATGGGGTTAATAACTGAGCAAGGAGGGACTGTGTAGAGCCTTCACCGTGGACGCTGGCCTTTGCTAACAGTGACCCAACATGGGATTCCTCTGTTGTGGCATCAGCAGACACTGACAGGGGATATCTATGAACAGCAGCACAAGCATTAGAGAACAAAGAAGAGGAGAAGCGAAGAGGATGGAAGAGGAGGACATGTCCTAAGATGTCTAGAGTGCCGCACCCACGCCTCACCCCAGGACTTCCTAGAGAGATTTGGAGAATGTTTGGTAGACATGAGAGGAGCTAGAACTGGGCCAGAGTGGTGGCGGCACTCCTGAGGGTAGAATTGTGAGACTCACTTCCTACTCGGGCTGTCGTGGCCTGAGAAACAGGGGTTCTGGCAGGTTGACACTTCCCCAAGGGAGCTTGATCCAAAAGGCTGCTGGCCCTTTGTGAAGATTCACACTCCAGAAGGGGAACTCTGTCCCATGAGCAGTGCCGTGGGCTTCTGGGGCCACTTTCTCCAAGCAGCTCCAGCTCTGTCTTGCTGCCCTTGTGCCCTACTCACATCTCTGGCTCTGTCATCCTACCGTCTGAAGTTCCATCCCAGCATGGGAGCTCTTCTTTGGGGCCAAGGCAGGCCCAGCAGTTCATCTACTATTCTTAGCATGTAGAACTGTGAATGGCTCATAAAATGGTATTCAGAAGAGTGGGTGGAATGGGAAAGTAGCTTGCTTAGCTGTAGTTAAATGGGACAGCTAACTCTAAACCAGTTTGTGTCTGGCATTGAGCTCACACCCACTTTAATGACACATGGTGGGGACCTAACAGCCTATTGCTTTATCCTTCATGGTATCCTCTTCCAGGAACTTCCATCCCTGCTCCTCACCTGGCTCACTCCTGCTTCTCCTTTAAGACTCATCTCAGGGGCCAGGCGCGGTGGCTCATGCCTATAATCCCAGCACTTTGGGAGGCCGAGGCAGGTGGATCATGAGGTCAAGAGATCGAGACCATCCTGGTCAACATGGTAAAACCCTGTCTCTACTAAAAATACAAAAATTAGCTGGGCATGGTGGTGCATGCCTGTAGTCCCAGCTACTCAGGAAGCTGAGGCAGGAGAATTGCTTGAATCCAGGAGGCGGAGGTTGCGGTCAGTCGAGATGGCATCATTCCATTCCAGCCTGGGTAACAGAGTGAAACTCCGTCTCAAAAAAAAAAAAGACTCATCTCAGGAATCACCACCTCTTAGACCTTTCTTGGCTCCTGTGGTGGACACTGCCTGATGCCACCCAGATCCTCCCTTTATCAAAGGATATGTGCCCCCAGCTGTGGGGTTTGTGGTCAGTAGTAGCACTCTGCTGTCAACCTCCTCAAGAACTGTCTCAGCTGCAGAAAGCCACCCTGCTCAAGCTCATCCCCCTTTCCGATGTGGCTCAGTTCAATGATGGGTTGATGCAACAGTAGAAAGACCTAAAACTGCACTGGGCTGCTTTAGCTTCAGAGGTCTCCATGGTGTTGACCAAGACTTTCGCTGGATCTGTTCATGGATTAAATCCTCTCTTTACCCAGCCATGCTTCTGTCCCCTCCCTTCCACAGAGGTCAGTCCCAAGGACTCTCCTTAATAAACCATGCCTGCTGACTCCACGTCCATCTGCTTTCTGGGAGCCCAGCCTGGGAAACTCCTGGTCTGAGTGAGGTGCCCTTGACAGCCCTTATATTTCCCTTTTACTCTGTATCCTGTGTCGCTCCCTACACTGTGAGCAGGTTGACTCAGGTACTCTGCTTTGTCCGCGTTTAGATGCCTGCTGTCTAGCACAGCACCTGAGCACAGCAGGCACTCAGGTGATGGCTGGGCATGTGAATGAGTATGTTAGACCCAGGGGCTGTCAGAATCCAGTGGGAGGGTCAAGAGGTTTTTAAAGGCCCCTCAGCCTCCTTTCACAGCTTTATTTTCCTCTGTGAGTCAGTGATTTTGTTGACAGCAAGGTTGGGTCAGGATACTGGCAGACAGGGTTCTGAGAAAGGTCAGGGTAGGAGCTTGAGTTGGGAAAGCTGGAGATTCTTTCAAAAGGAATGGCTGGGAGGGCGAGGCAGGCAAATCACCTGAGATCAGGAGTTCAAGACCAGGCTGGCTAACATAGTGAAACCCCCTTTCAAAAACACAAAAAATTAGCTGGGTGTGGTGGTGCGTGCATGTAATCCCAGCTACTCTGGAGCCTGAGGCAGAAGAATCGCTTAAACCCAGGAGGCAGAGGTTGCAGTGAGCCGAGATTGCACCATTGAATTCCAGCTTGGGCAACAAGAGCAAAGTTCTGTCTTGAAAAATAAAAAATAAAAAAGGGATGGCTTTGGCTTTCTATGGTACCCTGTCCCAGCTCACCACAGCATGAGAGCAGATGTGCCTTGGTGCAGGGGCTGCACAGGCGAAGAGGGGTAAATGCATCCATTCGTGCCACATCCCAGTTCAAGCTTAGCAGTAGGTGGCAGGAAGGAATGAGCCTGGCTTTGACAGGGCCATCCCCCACTTCTAGTTTCTTGGGTCTGGATCATAGAGTGCCATGTCCTGGGAAGATGCTACAGGGTACCACCTGGCTCAGCCTCCAGCTCAGGGGCTCCTCTCAGTAGGTTCCCTTCCCTGGGAAGCTCATAAAAACCTTTCTAGTGCCCTTCCCAGGGGCAGGGCTGTGGACACTGTGACTTCTCAAGCTCCTTCCTGTCTCAGGATCTGAATGTGCATGTATACATTTTAAAGTTAGGAACAGTTGGATTGTTTTTTAAGCTTTACTACTTTCAGACAATCACAGATAAGCAGTGAGGAGTGATGGTAGTGATCAAATGTGCATCAGTGATAATGGTTTGCATGACTGGGTCCTTTCTTGCCATGTGGAACACTGAGGCTGGATAGTATCCTTCTGAAACATTCTACTAATCAAATGTGAAATGACAAAACTCGGCAATACTGCAATCCATTATATAATCCTTTATGCTTTTCTGTTTAGCTATAATTTGTTAATATTTTCCTGGATATTTCTGAACACATTTATCAAACAGACATAAAGCAAGGTGTCTTATGTATGTGGATTAAACCTAAGAGCTAAAATATAATGATAATAAAAATAGAAATAATCATCGTAATAATATCACCCCAGTTCTGTTATAAATGCTTTGCCCAAATTATCTGTTTAATTCTGACAACAACCCTATGAAGGGGTTAATGTGATTATTTCACCAGGTGAAGCAACTGGCATTTGAGAAGTTGCTTGTCCAAAACTGGTAAGTGGCAGAGATAGAGTAAACCCTGGGTCCTTTGCTTCAAGCCTGTGCTCCCCACCTTGCTCTGACCACCACGGGTTAGCGTCCACAGAAAAGGGCTGAGGACTCATCCCACCTATGAAGCTGCAGTTGAGTAAGGTGGTTTCAGCAGATGGGGGATGACCTCCAAACAGCACAAAAGAGCATCCTAGAGCAGGCAATGCCTGCAGTTCAGGAGAATGGAAACACTGTAATGTAGGGCCATTGTTTTCCAATTTTAATTTTTTTTTAATCAGTGAAATTCTTTATTTCTCTCAAATGACAAAAGAATATTGGCTTATAAAACAGATAATGTTTGATTGAAATGAATTGATTTCATAAGTTTAAACGTGTAATATTCACTCATTGTAAATCAGATAAGAAAAATGCGGCTGTTTAGATGAACACAGACTTTGAGATCAGGCGTTTTGGGTAATATTGGCAGTCTCACATCAGTCTCAGTACTCTATTTATGTCTGCATTTTGTTACGTTGCATGATATTGAAAAAGTCTGGATTCACACGCTAGAT